ATAAATTAGGAAGCAGCAACTCCCTCATACTGGTGGAGAATAGAGTCTAGAGGACAAAATCAAGTGAAAAAACTGATAAATTTCTACTGAGTTTTTAAAAAACATATAAAATCCTTATACTGTGAGGGTGTTCTTTCTTGCAAATTTTGCTTTGGCAGCAATTATATTTGGCATATAGCCAAGATATTTAATATTTAGGTTTGGAGGACTATCTAATATCAAGAATGAAGAATCCTCAATAATAGTTTTTTTTCATATAGGATCACTTTTATTTCAGAGCACAGGAAGTTAAAAAAAAACAACTTTGTAATTTGACTTCACATTTTTCATTCCTAATACAAAATTTTTTTCTCTTGAGAGTTCTAGCTTGTTTAAATAAGGCATGCCAACCCAGTATAATTACCTGGACATTATTTGTAACATTGACTTCCACACTCCCAGTTCAAATGGTGTGAGAGATTATAGATATATGGCCTATAAAGAGTTATAAATCTTTGTTTATTTTATTAAATATTACGAGGCATGCCCTGAGGATGACAGATCAATAATGGTCCTTGTGGTTTCCTGATGGAAGGCTGCAATTATTTTCTTCCATTACAACTTAAATGTAACTCAATTTAACTCATCTATCATCTTTATAATAGTAATAAAGAAACATAACTGTATGTTTAGCTTTCTGCCTATTCCTAATATTCCTTGTTTGCATCTTGTTTTGATTTTTGTTCTCATTCGAAATTGTCCTAATCATTCTGCTTTCTTCCTTTGATGGCTCTGAGCAGTGACCCTTTAACTCTGGCACTCAAACGGAGATGGAAAATTACTACCTTAAGTTTCCTCTATTTTGGGAAGCAGTTGGCTAGTCTTTGGATTTGAGTATAAATGATATTTAAAAACAAGGAAGCTTAACACAAACAACCTATGAGGCTGATTTTTTTTCTAAAGCTGCAAAATATTATTATGCAAAATATGATTTTAGTCATGCACAGTATAACTTATAGTATGTAGCATAATATAGTAGTTGGAATTTTAAGTCAGGTTAAGAAGCAGAATTTACGCCTTTATCCTGACTACAGTATCATTTTGATTCAACTGTCTTTCTCTCTACCCTCTGTTGACCTTAAACCACCACTAACCCTCACCCCATCCTTTTGTTTTGTCTTAAAATATTTAATCTTAAGAGGCATTAACAAATTAAGCATTATGGAGGTGGGTCACTCAATGACGCTCAGGAACAATGGAAACAGAAGGTGAAGCTTCCAGAAAACAGTACAAGCATTTGAATTTGCTTTACTTTACACAAGTATTCCTTACAAAGATAGCTGCTATTTTATTATGTGTCAAGGACTAAGGACTTTTTACAGACATTGGGCACTTGTCCACACAAAGGAAGTCCCACACAAAGGAACATGGGTTCTGAGAATGAAAATAATGCTCCCATGGCCATCCAGGTAGAAAATGATGGAGTATAGACTTGAACCCATACCTCTGATATTAGTTGCCTGCCATTAGGTCATGCTGACTCCCAAAGGCCTAAATTTATGGTCATTTTATTGTGCCAGGTACTTAATATGCAGTATCCCAAATTTGCTTAAGACTCTGTGGAGCAGGTATTATTATCTGCACATTACAAATCATAGCTGGGCTCTAAAAATTAAGTAATGTGGCAATAGTCACAGAGTGGGTATGCGATAAGTCAGGACTTACACCAGGTGTGTGTGGCACCAGATGTTACATTTTCCCTTTTCAGTTGCTCCATCATTTGGTCATTAAGATGACCTAGATGTTGGTGCCCTAAATGTTGTTACATGTTTACTTTAGTTCTTTCAAATGCTTACACATAGAGCAAAACTTTGATAATGGGATTGCAAGAAAAACAGTGTAATGTGTTAACTATTTTATTTCAAGAACCCCTTCTTACTTTAAGTTTGATTAAAAATATTTTCAAAATGTATCATTCCACCTCTCTTAGTATATATAAGTTATATACTATATACTTAGTAAGTTATATACTAGTTATATACTATCACAGTAAGTTATATACTATAACTTACAGAAGTGAATCATTACTGATTTGGGGATTTAAAACAAATTCTATTCAATATTGATTCTCATTTGCAGGAGATGAGCCGTTGTGCACCGATTCTATTTTATTTTCTGGGCTTATCATGTAAATAAATCCCTTATATGTGGCTGTTGGAGATTATAGTTAATATTAAGCAAAGTAACAGAGTTTGTTTTGTTTTGTTGTGTTTTCCTAGCTGGTGGTGGGGACCAAACCCAGGGGTTTACACATTTAGGGCAAGTGGTCGACCACTGAACTACACCTCCAGCTCTTAAGTGAATTTTTAATACTGTTGATCCCCAAACAGAAGATATGGGGTTTTTACTCTCCAAATTTGTGTCTTTACAAAGTCTTCATATTATGAGGGCATTTTCTTAATCATATTTTGAATAATAATGTGCTGTTTAGTAACTATGCGACTTCAATAAATGCTAAACTAGGACATTTATAGAGATTCACCGATGGATGAATAAAAAAAGGCAGTATAGATATTTAGTGCTGATTTAGTAGTTTTTGTGGTATGTAATCTTATACTTCTCGGTTTGGGAAACACTGTAAACAAACCCTTTAAGAATCACTTTCAAAAGCAACATAGAAAATGTTTACATTGTGGGAATTAAAAATATACTCTTAGAAAACAACTGGCATAATTGACAGGACTGGTATTCCATCAATGGTCACCTGCAGCTTGAGATAACTCCCCAGGGACAGCATCATGTTTGAAGACAAAGAGTTTTGAAGTCCAAATAATTTATAGGTGAAATGATGTGCTCTGGGAATTATAAGATAACTCAAAAGAGGGCTTCTGTCATAGATATAAGATATATGTAAAAAGTTTGCATAGACACATTCATGAAAAAAGAAGGCTCTGCTGTGGCAGTCTTCTATGATCCTGGGATAGAAACACATTTTGCACATGGCAGGAGGCTCAAGAAGGGCCAGAAAAGCCCTTTAAGACTGTGCTTTCATCAGAGACACAGTTTCCTTAAGGTGGTCCACAGAACCCACACATAGTTATAATAGAGATACATGTATGTATCTTCATGTAGGTGTGTTAATAACAAACTACAAAACAGTTGTTTATCCACCAAACTTCATACCAAAATAATAATCCATTCCAAGAAATTACTAGAAGGGTTACCTGATACCTAATCAAGTTAATATGCCAAGACTGAATAGAGTGATCTTAATTCTTAGACACTCTCTAAACAGGTTCGATCTTGTAAATCATTTTGTTTTTGGGTGATGCATGGTTCTTCTTGCTTTCATTATGAGATAAAGCTGGGAACTGATTATATGCTGATTATTGCAACACTCTGAGGTGTTTCTGTGAACCAGTTATATGAAAACAAGGGATGCATAGTCTCAGTCTCAAAAGAATTTTGATCTTTAGTAATCAGAGAAGGTAAACAGGCAAATAAAATAGAGAAGGTTTGAAATATTTTTCTTTATGGAATTGGGCCAGTGCAAAAGTTGGCTTCCCTTGTAAGAAGACTATGTTGGAACATTCCACCTTGTTTGCCACAAGAATTTTTGTGATGGGAGTGATAATGGTTTCAGGTGTGGCTAGTGCATCTTGGGCATTTTTCCTGGGCAACAAAACTGACCTGAATTTAGATAATAGATAATCCCACCTTGTTGTTCCTGTTGGGACACGAAAAAATGTCAAAGGGGTAGAATAAAGTTCAAATGAGTTTTAAGAATTTTTAGAATTAATAGGTACTTTCACATCTGGAGACTGAAATGTACAAAATAAAACAATATGATAACATATCACTATACCCTTGTAAAGTCAAGTCCCTTTTTAATTTTTAACAGATTAATGTTTAAATAGCAACATCATGTGCTGTAGAAGCCTTATAAGAACTTTTTAAACTTGTGTTTGTGAAGTAGCTTATTGGATGTGTTTTCTCAGCATTGCTTTTAATTTTACACTTCTTTTTCCTAATCCCATGTTTCCAATAGTCCTTTTGCTTCCTTTTCTGTATTTTCTAGTGAAGAAAAGGGGCAGCTTCTGAGGAATCCCATTGCTTCTTAAAGTTTGCAAAATATATTAAACAGGTGCAGGGGAAAAAAGTTTTAATTGGGATATATGTGTATACTATGAATATTGGTCAACTTTGGAAGGGAGAGGAGGGAATTTTGTCTTTACTTCATCAAAAGATAAATTGACTATCTCAGAAGTATTTCCCTAAGCTTCATAAAAAGCCATCTAGAGTTTTCATCTAGGGAAGTATCCCAGACATTTCAGCAAAAGTCAATAAATGTTTCTGAATTCATATGCTCTTGATATGCCTCAGCAAAATTATGTACTGTCTCTTATCAAGGACATAGTTATTGTTCTTCCTGATAACAATTATAACCTTTATGTCTCATGATAAGTGAGACACATATTTTCAAAGTCAAACTTTGGATAAGCTATATTATTTGTTCAATTATGATCATAGTGGTCATTTTGCTCAAAGGCACAGCCAGGCCCGTATAAGCAAATCTGGGTTCAGTACAAGGAATGTCCAAGGCCACAAAGGACTTCCAAGTTGATGTTCTTCCTCCAGCACCAAGTGATAAAATGACTAGCAAGAAAAATCCTGAGGTATAGATGTTAGGTTTTACTGTATGTAAATCAAAGCACCAAGACTTTCCCTAACACTTCATGTGAAAATACCATTTCATCTTAATACAAATGATCATCAGTGTAAAAGAATGTGTTGCAGACATGCAAATTCCAAGTTTAAAAAATATTTTCTTTTCATCATCACACTAATTTCTTAAGATATGATTTTAACTGTAAATCAAGATTTAACTTCCTGATTTTCTTGGAAAAAAAATATTTTGGCCATTTACCAAGCACAGAAAAGCCCTTGAGAACCTTTCCTAGAATGATGCTTATTCTGCTTTATATGTCAGGATTTGTAAATGAGGAATCTGTGTGACTTACCCTATTAAAACAGTGCTCATGATTGGGTCCATAAAAATGCTGGAGGCATCTCACATTGTTTTTGTTGACGATCTTGTTGAAGAATTCATTGACATATTTGATAGGGAATGCGCAGACAGCTGATCGATTCATTGGTTCAGCAGAATCTGGCTTGCTCTGTGCGAACACCCCATAGAGAATGTCGTCATTTAGGTTGGCTCCTATTTGCTTGGCAAGATGGGCCCCGGGCTTACTGACATATGCAGCTTGAAGGATATTAAATACCTCTTCCCTTGTGGATCTCTTCCTTCTCTTTTCTGTGAGAATACACTCCAGAGGCATTTCCATGTAGGAATGCAATCCAGAGTCCACGGAACAGAACCTGATTATTCTGGTGTGAAAAGTCTGGGCATTCAGAGTTTCCCTTTGGACTGTCAGAAAGTAAATAAAATGGTTACTTTCGAAGGCATGGACATACTTAATGGGGTAAGAATCTCGGAACTCAGGTAAAACATCTATATAGGACTGGTCTGTTAAGAACTTAAAGCCATCTTGAGTCTCCTTCAGCCGTCTCACCGATATTGAATGCAATGAATGATCTGGAAGGTAAGAAGAATTGATGGTATTGCCCACGAAGAAGTTGATGAACCTGTTCTTTACAGAGAGGAGAACTTTGGCTCCCAGGGGGCTCACCACACAGTCGGGACACTGTCCTGGCTCTTTGTCTGCCTGTGAGGAGAACATGCAGTGGACTTCTCGCTGTATGTCAGCAGTATTATTGCGTGGAAGGACATGTCGCTGGCAGGTCCCTCTGCTGACACTGCCGCAGCTAATGAGCTGGTCATCATAGTATGTGTCCACAAGCAGGGCCATGTTGACGTTATCTTTCCAAACGCCCCCTGACACATTCACTTTGCTGCTGCAGTCCTGGCATGGAAGACAATCCGGGTGTTCCAGCACGGGCCCAGTCTTGTACTCCGCCACCTTCTGAAGGTCCTTGTCATTTAAGACATAGATGTAGTTAGTGGCACCGAGGTAAATATGATGCTCATGTAGAACGACATTCTGGATGGGCGTTTCTGCGGTGAAGTTGGGAAGCTGATAGTTCATGTTCACATTCATCTCGGACTTCGCTAGTGCCTCTTTACATTCCCCATCGCTCCTCAGCACCCAGGTAAACAGCAGCACAAGGATGCCAGGTGCAAGCACAGCAGGGACCTTCATTGTGTGAAGCTGATCTGCCAAAACACGTTCAAGGAGAGAAGGGGTTTAGTTGTCATTAGGAACAGAGAAGAGAAAACTGAAAAAGAGAACTATCCCAGTTAAACTCTCTGAAATAACACTTCCTAACTGGAGATCGTACATAGAATGAAAACAAAACTCGAGCTGGTTGCACATAAAGATGCATTGTGTGGTTGGACATGACTCCACACAGTTTAATTTTGGAAGTCAAGCCATGAACGAGTAATTTTAGAGAGCCATTATGAGATGCAAACAATGTTCTGTATTAAAGTCCACACGGCGGCTAAGTGAGACTCATTCAGCAGTGAAATAAGAAACACAGCATATTTCTTTCTTAACCCCTTACTGGTTGTTTAATGTGGTTTCCTATCTGTGGCTAATGACTAGGTTGATATTTAAACTTTCTTGTGTAGTCAAGTAAAGGAACTGTGGTTCAGATTCATTTATTCTAGAAATCACAGCAGGCATTGTTTCCTTGGGAGCATGTAGAATTACTAGGCTAAATTTAGCTTCCTTTTGGAAGAAAACAATCATAAATTCTAGAAGCAATATGATCACATGCTGTTTATAGGATTTTGTGTGCAGAGGAAAGGTATGGTTAAAATTTGGCTATAGTTAACCTATTGTTTCAGACGGACAAATGCTTAACGTACGATTACTGGGAACATAAAAGCAGCGGGATGAAATTGTATAAAATAAAATATAATCTTCAGAACTAAAGTCTTAGAATTATTACTCAGAGAAAAACAGCACATTGTTCATTACCAAGTCAGAAAGCTATTTAGTAAAAAGAACATTATTTTAACATTCCATTGTATGCACACGGACAATATTTCTATCAGGAAGCATGAATGGATTAGTTTCTCAGTTTTTAAAGACTTAGGTGCACAAGTTCTAGGCATGTGAGTTCTACTTGTAATAGCTATAAACAGGGCAGTACGTTGGAAAGGAGAGCTCTTAGAACAGAAGAAACTAAATAGCTGTTACTTTTCTTTAAAAACATCATTCTGACAGGACAAAAGGAACCTCTAAATAAGTACCAGGCACTATATCCATGTCAAAGACTAATCTTGGGTCAATAAAAGCACAACAGTACGTGTGTAGCTCTGTGCTTGTACTATAGGAAATGGACCATGGTCCCTGACCTTTAGTAAACCTAAAAAATTAGTTAAGCAGTAACATACACATGCTGATAACTATACTACATGGTATTATAATACCCCACATAGCACAAACAAAAAGCTACAAGCACATAGGATTAGGATTATGAGAAATAAGGACAAGTTCATTATGTCATGAGGTCCAGCAGAGCAAAGATAACGTCTACTTGGCTTATTACTATATCCCTAATACCTGGTACAGAGTCTTGGACACTACTGATGTTAAATATATGTTGAATAAGTGAGCAAACAAAAATTAAGCAATATGTTCAAAGTCATATAACAGGTAAGGGTAGTAGCCAGAACCTGAATTCACATCTTTTTGACTCCAAAATTAAAGTTACTTTTATTCTACTAAATTTCTAAGAATCAGCGGCTATCATTAAAAGGTAATGAAAAGCTACCAAAGGGATCTGAGTTGGGGAGTCCTAACAAGGTTTGACTCTAGGAAGATTTATCTGGAGGCAAAGGGTTTAGAGTAGGGGAAAATTTGCAATGAGAAGACCAGTTGACTGGCAATTATTAGGCATAATAAAATAATAAGGGTTGGACCAAGATGGTGGCCCAAAGAATAGAAAGAAGAGATGAATGGGAGACATATCTGAATAAATAAAGACTGGACACCTAACTGGGTAGAGTACAAAAGAAAAGGCAAAGATGATTGACAGTCATCTGGGAAAAAGTGAAACAAGTTACAGAACTAGGGTAGTCATAAATAGGATGTTAGGTTAAGATATGGATTTTAAACACATTGAATTTGATATGCTAGTGGGAAATGAGTCAATGTTCTACTACAGGAATGACTAGTACGTTTTATATTATTCATCAAGAGGCAGCTGCTTGGAATAAATAAATAGTAAAAAATTTAACCAGACAGAGCACGTGTGCCAAGGACCAGAGGTGGGAAATGAAAAGGATTCTGTCCTTACTGGGAAAAGGGGCATGACTGGGGGGACAATATCTGTTCTGGGTGAGACGGTGGCAAGTGGGCATGAAAGCCAGGTATTTACCTCTGCTGCACCATAAGGAACGAACAATCCTAAATCAATCTTGGTGGACTAATTGGGACTCTCATTGGAATAGAAAGAAACTTTGCACGTGTCTGCATACAGGTGATGGTTAAAACCAAGAGTGGGTATATTCATGGAGGAACTAGGTGAAAGAAGAGTCATTAAATCAAGAAAGGTTAAGGTCTTGGAGACATGGAAGGCCGAAATTGTACACTGTCGCAGAAGCTGTGTGAAGGTCTCAGGAAGGAGAATGTGGTCCACGTGGAAGCTCTTTGTTGATTTTAAAAGAGTATTTTTAATGGATTTAATAGTGGTGTGCAAGGGAATGTGTGATGAGGAAGTAGAATGTTTATCAAAGGAAGAACAAGCAGAAACCATTAACAGGGTCAAGCGGAGTTTATTCTTAAATTGTAGGAAAGACATATGCTTATTTGTAGGACTTCCCTTTCTTCTACTAATGTTGTTTTGGTGTCTGTGAAGACATGGTGCCCTTCCCCATGAAGCTCACAGTCACTTGGTGGAGCAATGGCTTAACAGTTATGGGAATGCAAAGGAAGAGTGACAATCCAGATAGGAGATGATACTAGTGTTCAAGGAGGAAATTTTCACAGAGAAAATTTCTAGTTGGCACAGCAGTTTGTGCAAAGACACGGAGGCAGTGGAGAGCATATGGCATGGGCAGGAAAGTGGCAGGTAGTTGAGCCTGGAGAACTTGGGACCCCAGACAAACGAGAGAGAAAATTGTTGGAGTAATATTCTAAAGGAGAAAAGGAGGGCCCTCCCAAGGTCACTAGAACATAAAAGAGGTTACTGTTTCTGAGACAGAAGGAGAAGATGAGTAGTCAGGTGTAAATACAGAGACATTGAGGGACAAGAGTTATGACCTCAATATTGAAAAAATAAATCAGTGCATGATCATTTCCTGAAAGCAATGAACACAAAGGAGGAACTAGTGACTTTGGGGTTCAGGAAGAGGTTTAGGGTAACTATAGCAGGGTATGCAAACTGTGGTCAGTAAAAAATAAATAAAAGACTAGTTCTATGGGCTTCTTTAAGATAAGACATGATGCGTTGTGACTTCCTCTTCACATTCATGAAAGATGCACAATCAAGGATACAATGTCCTTCAGCTTCCAAGCAAAGGATTCCTATTGAGGATATAGGTTCTGAAGAACAAGCAAAGCTAGAAAACTGCAGTTGGACCAGAGAGTAAGGCGAAATTTCAGTAAGGTAAAGAACTTGAATGTAATAAAAAATAACAATAACATGCACAGAGCGCTTATCACGTGCCAGGCATTCTGCTAAACTCTCTGATTTACTCTTCAAAAAACCCGGGGAAGAAAGAAGTATTCTCATCCTCCTCTTCTGAGTGAGCACACTTGTCAGAAGTCAATTAGATCCAGGATTGGATTCCATCTAACAGACAGGAATCCATCCACCCTCTTAAATACTTCAATACTGAAGCAGCTTCCTTAGCTTTCAGGGAAGCACACTGGAGCAGAAGTCAGAAGTCCTTGGCCTCTGATTTGGCCCTTCTCCCTCCAGCTCTATGGCTTCAGGCCATTCACCCTCACCTAGCCTCAGGGTCCAATATTCTCATAAGATTGCTTTTAAATATCAAAAAGGGATTTCAGGACTTCTGTAGTAGCTCATGGAGGAGCACTTGCCTAGCATGTGGGAAGCACTGGGTTCCATCCTTAGCACCACATAAAAAATAAAGGTATGTGTCCATCTACAACTAAAAAAAAAGGGGGGGGGATTTCATCTCTGAAAGTACTTAGACCATTATAAAACATTTAAAAATGTAGGGAGTTGTACATGCTATTTTTTATATATAATTGTTTTGAAAGGTACTAGAAAATTTTTGGTGCTAATGAGGAACATCATAAAGAAGAAAAGAAAAGAAGGATTAGGAACAAGTTGTTCTCTTAGTCAAGTGTCTAGCGTATATTATGTGAAAAATGAAAGGTTCTTCTCAATATGGTATATATCAGTATATCTCTCAAAATTGGGAACATTAACCTAATAAATAATTTCTTACTATATTTTCTCTAGAAAATACTAATAAAAGAAAACAAATGAACCATTACGGCCAAAAGGAAGAAAAACAACATTATGACCAATTTGCGTGTTAGTTGTTGGCCATTAACACAGTACAGAATGTGAACGACTTTTTTTCTTTCTCCTCTAGGCTTTTTGAAGGATTTCAAAATTAACTTTAAAAAAATCTAAGGTATTATGTTAAATTATGTTTTAAAAATAAGATTCATAGCTTAAGTTCGGTACGTAAGTCATTCTCTGCTCTAAACCTCAACTAGCTAGAATGCAGGTGAAAGTACTAGTGGGTTTTTGTTATCTCACTTGGTGAAAAGACAAAGCCATAGAAAACCAGTAGGAAAGGATTCCTTTGAGGAAAAAACCTTTCAGAAAACACACTGGAGTTACTGCCCTGTTCTCCTACACCTTCTTTCTGTTCTCTCATAACAAATAGTGATGCCATTTTTCATACTGAGAAAGGAAAGAAAGGTTAAAATTACTTATCTTAGTTAAAGAAAAAAAGTAGGACTAGGGCCCATCATCAACAACAGGACTTTTATTTAAAATATGGGTTTCTGTTTAAACTTCAGATACGAGAAAACTTAGGCACCTAAAATGCTCTGTTTCTTTTAACCATCCTGTTAATTAAGGCCAATTCTTATTAACAAAAGTATGTGTTGCTCAGACCGGATCTCTAGGAAATGTATGTGTCCTTCCTAAGGGATGGAGGGAAACTTTATCTGTTGTTGAGCTGGATACTCTGATGATTCTGACA